TGGAAATGTATTATTTTGGCTTTTTAGCCCTTTAGGTAATTCCGATATACGGCCCAGGTTGAAGTTGCACCACCTGACGGCTTCCACCTTTCCTTTGTTGGATCCTGCTTGTGGCTTGAATGTTCATCCCTCTAGTGATGCTTCCTGTAAACTTCCTTCATCTGTCAGGCTTCGAGGGGAGGCTGGGAGCAGCCTTCAGCCTTATGGCAGCTTGAGCAGCTGCTGGCATCTGTTTAACAGACTGCACTTTGTCTCTAGAAAGGGATTCAGTACTTTGAAAAGGTTTATAAACCATTGGCCTTCGGAGGCTGAAGTCACTCCTTTGTGTGTCAGAGCAGAGCAGGGACTGTTTTGTTGGGAGACCTTGGCCTACACTTTGCTACCTTCCTGTGGCTGATGAGCTCCTTGATTTTAAAAAGGGGATACAACCCTTTCCTCTTGGTTAACTGTAAAGCAAATTTCCTAAATATTTTAAGAAACCCTTCTTTTGATCCACTCTTACTACCTCAGTCTTAGCTCCTGGCTTTGCTGTCTGTCACGGAAGCCTCCTGGCTGGTCGTGCTGGCATCTCCTCCCCTACTCTGCCCACCCCCCTGTCCCAGAGAGATCTTTCTGTAGCCCCTCACCCACAGAGTCGAGTCTAACAGCTCAGGCGGTCTTATCAGTACCACCCTGTGGTACCCCTCCCACCACTGAAGCTTCTGCAGCTCTTTGTTCTACCCACTGTGCCTTCATTTGTCATTTCCACTGATCTGAAGCGTTTCTCCCAGTCCTTCACTTTTCTCTGCTCAGGGTAAACTTCCTCTGTGAAACCTTTGCTGATCCCTTTCAGCACGGTGGGCCACCCTTGGGTATTACTTCCTCTCTTGGTGCACATGTCTGGTTGCACTAACTAGGCTGCTGCTAGCTAATAGGCACCTTTGTGCAAATTAGGAGAAGGCACCCACCCCTTCTTCAAGATATTCAATGGTACTTCCAGCTATTGGCAAACTGTCTTAATAAGGATATAAATTTATGATGTCTACAATGTGAATGGTGTCCTGCTAGGGTTGTGCAGTGCACGACTGCACAGTTGTACTTGGTGGCTCTATCTGTGTTGTAATTATTTAATTGTCTGAATTCCCCTCAGGACCAAGGGGAATATCTTTATATCTTGATATTATTTTTATATTCTCACTCTCAGAGTAGGCCCTTAGTAACCATTTGCTAAACAGAAGAAGGAACGAAGGCCCAAGTATGTACCACACTTCTGTCTGGAAAAACAGCAGGAAAGGCATGCCTGCCAGGGCCTCTTACACTGAACATTAAAAATATATTTAATTTAGAGACACTTCTTTTTTTTTTTGACATTTTAATATTTCTGTAACCAGATATCTTAAAGTTAGAATACCATGGTGGAGGGCCTCTTACACTGAACATTAAAAATATATTTAATTTAGAGACACTTCTTTTTTTTTTGACATTTTAATATTTCTGTAACCAGATATCTTAAAGTTAGAATACCATGGTGGTTGAAAGCGCAGACCCTGGAGCCAGACTGCCTGAGTTTGATTCCCAGTCCTACAACTTACACTCTTATTTTTGCGACTTTGGGCAAGTTACTTAACCTTTCTGTGCCTCAGTTTACTCACCTGTAAAGTGGGAATGATAATAGTTCTTACTCCATGGGGTTGTCGTGAGAATTAAATGAATTATTTTATGTAAAATGCGTACCAGGTACATAATAGTAAGAGAGGTGTTAGCTATTATTACCAATACTGGTAAAGTCAATGTATAGGTTTACTGTATTATTGTTTCTTTTTAACCCTGAAAGGCTGTTTTTAATCCATGGTGTACAGCATATATTGCTAGCATCTTGTCTGCAGGGCTGGCCTCCTGCTGGTTGGTCCCATGTTTGGTCTGTTGTCAAAGCACCTGACGTTCCACATGCCCCTCCCCCATCCACACCAGTTTTCTGGTTGCTGCACAAAAGTTACATAGTATACAGACAGGATACCAGCAGTCTTTGTTTTTTTCTTCCTAATTTGGCAGAAGAGAAGGGAAAAACCAGAGCCATTTTCGGACAAGGCTTGTTTTAGAGTTTAAATTTAACTTCTTATTTATGTTCTGAAGCTTGGATTGGTGGTAAATCTTGGCTATATGAAATTAGAAACCAGAGAATTAGGTTTTTAAAAAAAGATTTTAATGTAAAACCTTTTCTAATTTCAGGACAACTTTCCTTTGATGATTTTCAAGAGACCTGTGCTAAGAAGTGGCAAAAGGTAATGATCTGTTCCAGGGCCAAGTTCCCCATTAGACCCCACCAGGGTGTTCTCAGGTTAGATAGTAGATGAAAGTTGCTCCCTGAATATTTGTGGGTTTCTCTTGGTCCTCAGTGTTCACTTGTGTCTGTAACTTCACATGAGGGACAGGATGGGTATTTTTCCCTCATGTCTGACACTGGCTTTAGAAGCTGCAGCACTGTGGGAAGCTCTGCATAGCTCCATCTGGCTGCCCCACCCTGTTGAACTCTCTTCCAGTTAAGCAAGATCTGACTGATACATTCTTTAGAGATGCTGTGATTGTTTTTATGATGAGAACTAAATGGTTTTTCCCATATCACATTACTGTAATTGACTTCACACTCAACTTTGACAAATATTCTTAAAAAAAAGATTTTAATGTAAAACCTTTTCTAATTTCAGGACAACTTTCCTTTGATGATTTTCAAGAGACCTGTGCTACGAAGTGGCAAAAGGTAATGATCTGTTCCAGGGCCAAGTTCCCCATTAGACCCCACCAGGGT